AGGGCGCGCCCACACCCGCGGCCTCCGCCACAGCGCGGTTTGCCCAGCACTGCAGCACAGGCAGAGCGTGGGGTACACACCTCCGCGGTACAGCTTCCCTCCCGCGGTACAGCTTCCCTCCCGCGGTACAGCCCCCAGGACCACTCCCGTCCCAACACACTCTCGTACGTCTTCCTTCCCCAAAATACTTTATTTATAACAATATATTCATTATCTATAACATGATCCAAAAATACAGATATACATTTTTTACTTTACATTCCTTTTTTTTTTGGTAATAAAAAGATTTATATGCTCTTCCATTTACAAAGGGAACATAGATCTAATTCCTTTAAAAAAATAGAACGATTGGGTTAAAGTCGCTTCACTGGCAGTTTGGAGGAGCTGCAATAAAGCTGAACCCCGCAGGGTATTTGGGTGTTTCAACAATCTTTAGTGGAACATTCCTTTACGTATCACAGTCTTGTTCACCCTTCTCCAGAAAAGGGTATTTAACATCGTACATTCAAAATTCAGGAGAAAGATCCTTAAGTAAGCAAAAATGAAGGCTGCTGGTACTTCTGTCTATAAGGAGTTGAAAAATAAAGGTCTCTCAAGGCAGGTGGAAGTGGCCAAGAGACGCTCATGAGCCTGTCAGAGCCCCCGTGCCAATATGTTCCAAGTGGGAGAGTTTATTGCTGGTTATCAGACACCAGATGTCCTGACAGATCAGATGTTACATCATGAAGAAGAGGAGTATGGTAGGAATCATGTACAGTGTGAGGTACAGCAAAGTGTCTTGCCTTTTGAGGGCTGATGCTAACTTCTAGAGCTTATTTTTCTTTTTGCTTTGCTGGTTAAAACAGAAAATGTCTGCTCTTCCGAGCCCCAGAAAAGACGTGCTAACAAAATGCATTTTTCTGTCCCATCTGACCATCATTTCAGAGCGGAGGGTGGTGAGCTTCGCACATATGCGTCCGTAGCAGCCCACTTCCATAAGGGCACATTTCCAGCAAGACCTCCAAAGAGGTGCAGTGCCATTTTGAGACTGTTTCAAATCAAATGCTTAATCTATGGCAATACAACTAACTAGTAAAGCCTTGGGGGGTGAAGAAGGAAAAAAAAAAAAGTCATATACAATACCATTGGATGGAAGGGGAAAATAAAACCTGAAACATCTTCAGGATGCAGTTACCCCCCTACATTAATCGAGCGTAGCAGGTCAATGAGGTACAGGTCTCACTCACTGGTTACTGAATAACAGGCTGGCTCATGAGGTATCACAATTAAATTGACTCTCAAAAAAAGAGGCAAAGAGGGCTGACTCTATTTGCAAGTTCAGGTTTCTGTGACTGCTTTTCCTCCCCCTTCCCCTCAGCAATCTGCTTTTAATTTGCCTGCCTGCTTTCTGGGTGCTATTACAATGGCAACAATGACAAACATGCATCATCTGGTAAACACAACTCTGGAAACTTCATTTACAACACAGAGTGATGTAACATAGCGAAGACATGTGCAACATCACACTTTAAATAACAGGACCCTGGAGACAGGGGTTTGTTGCTTCCCCCGCCCCCCAGCAGACGCAATATATCGAAATGTTCAGAGAAAAGCTGTCTCGGTGTCAAGAGGTTTCTTCTGTGTCAGTCTTGACATACCTGCAGCGCCTACGAAGCCCAACAGAGCAAAGCTGGGAGGGAAAATTGGCAAAAGCTGTGTTCTACTTTCTTTCATTGCAAAACACAAGTAAGAAGGTCAGTGTAACAGGGAAAAAAAAGCCTTTTTTCTTTTGGAAACAGGTGCCAAAATTTGACTAGAAGTGTTTTTTTCCTTCTGTACTGTTTATTCAGAGTGTTTTTACAGCAGAACAGAAGCTTATCTGGAAGTTTCTTCTACCTTTCCAGCAGTCTATACCAAGAGCTCCTGCACAATGGTATGCAAAGTAGGACACAGCCCTGCACAAAGCAGCCATCAACACCCATCAGGGATCACAGCCAGCCAGATTCATGAGCCCTGGTCCGTACTGCTGCAGGGGGTTTTAGTTTGGGGCTTGCTTTTTTTCCCCCTCCACCAGCAGAACCACAAAAACACCTTTTACTGTAGGCGGGTAAGCCTCATAATACAGGAGCTATCTATAAAGGCAAGAGTACCCTCTGCTCTTCCCTCAACTCCTGCATCCACTGTAACTCAGAGGAAGGAAAAAACCAGACACTTGTTTTCCTACTCCTGATTTCCTTCTCTTCCTTCCGCTGCAGCAACTGACACTGCGATGACAGCAAGGGTTCACATTCACAATCTGAAAGGCAGCTTAAAGAAGCCAAGAACATGCAAATGTGCCCCCGCTAAAAAAAAAAAACAAACAAAAAACAAAAACACAGGAAGTAATTTTAAAACATCCCTACTGAACGGCCTCCTTCAGTAACAGTTTTTCATAGCAAATGCTATTCAGCCCCCGCTGCCAATCTACCGCCAGGCCGCCTTTGCCGCATCATGGGAAGGCACACTGTCCTTGCAGAGCCTCCCCTGAAAGCTTGTCTTCCTGATTTACCCAGGTACAACACAGGCAAAGACAGGTAACAAAAATCAGGCCTTCATCTTATTTTACAAATAAATCTGACCTTCTACCTCTATAAGAATACTGTAGGTTTCATCTTCACAGTAAGGTACTTAAAGGATCTTCAGAGAAACAGAAACAGCCAGGAAGGCAGGAAAGGTAACTCCCTCTCTCAATGTTACTGTCACTAAGAAACACTGCAGGACAATTCCTTCGCTATTTAAACATTCTCTCATGAAAGAGACAAACCTTTTCTGGAAGGAGGTGAAAAGTCTAATGGTTTGCTTCTGTTAAGGTTCATGTGAATGGGGGCAAGATCAAGTAAAAGAAAGGCAGTGCAAAGGCAGACAGAAGAAATTCCCCAAAAGAGAAGATACAATCATACCTCTCTCCCATCCCTGCCAACACTAAGCACCGCACTTGGCTTTGAGGAAACGGACACTGGAAAGAGTTAAACAGCTTTCCTGTTCCCTTCTGTACTACAAGACTGCACAACAAACGGGCTTCACACCTGAACAATGGAGCCTACATCGGAGAAAATTCCTTCTCTGTCACACCAAGCTCCAGGCCTAAACTATTTCCTTGATGGCGATGCACCATGCTGAAGATACCTGTGTTTTATTCTCCTGCAATGGCTTACATGATTTCACAGATACTAAGAACTAGGAGAGACTACAGCTACTGCCTGCCCTAGCACTTCATAGTAACACTGATTTCAGTGCTGTGCAAGTGGAACATAAAATCCCTGTGGCAAAGGGATTTGGGACTCCCTCCCAAAGTCATTTTCTTATGAAAGAAAAGGAATTACAACTGGCCATTGGACAATTAAGTATCACACCACAAACAGAAGGAGGGTAGGTTAAAAAAAAAACCAAAACCAAACAAATCAAAGATAATATTGCAACATTATGAAGGAATATATTAAATTCTTCTTGCCTCGGAGGATGTATTCCCCTCTACTCCTTACTTCTTTTTCTTTCTTTCCTGAACACAGCGAGGACAAAACCTACAGGGAAAAAGAGGCAGTAATTAGTTCCTGAAGTTAACACCACATAGCCCAAGAACTCTTTTTTATTATTGGGGAATGACTGGGTGGTTTAAAAGCAGTCAGTTTAAGTAAATGCAACAGTTTTCATGACATGCAGGAAGCCTGGGCAAATAGGAAAGGAACTGTACCAGCTCGGGTGGGCAGAAGCGACAGAGAACGCTAGAAGGCTTCCAGGGCTCCTCAGACCCTCACAGCTGTGATTCACCTTATTTCATTCACCTAGAAGTTACCCCACGTAACTTCTCCAAGTTTGTCACACAAGCTTCCTCCACAAGAAAAAAAAAAAAAAAGACACTTTCCTCCAATTCATTCCTTCCTCTTCCTCCAGTGATTGCAGTTCACTTCTACTGAAGCCCATTTCTGATAAGTGTCTTGTTAATTAGATGAGAGCAGTCCATTAAACAGAAACCAAGTACAAAACAAACCCTATGATCCTTTCCAAGATGAGCATGTATATAAGCAAAACCTAGAGCAGTCTTCAAACTTTCCTTCCAGAAGTGCAAAAAATACATGTCTCTCCTCCCTTTTAACCACAGCCACAACTATGCTACAATACAGCAAACCTGAGATGTAACATGTACACTTTTACACAAGTCTCAGATCAAAACCTGCTGTTTATCATGCAATTTTGTGTATGCCCGGGTTTTGCTCCCACCAGAAACTTAGACTCCTGTGGAAACAGACTTTTGCAAGAAGGTTCCCCTTGTACCTTCTACCTTCACACAAACGCAATCCCAAGCCATAGAGGATGCAAACCCTCTGATGACAAGAGCAAAGCTCGTCAGGAAGGATCACAGTGGGTTTTTAGCTCTTATTGTGATTCTTGAAGCAAATTGTAGCCTGATAAAAACCAAAAAGCTGTATGTTCTCATACTTACCATTTCCCTTTTGGTTTGGTGGTGAGGTCCACACAAGCAAAGTGGAACCATTCAATTGGGCACTGCAAAACAGAAAGGAAAAACCCACAGAGGAGATGCTCAGTATTTCACAAATGTTACTTCCACGTTGTATGATCTAATTGAACAAGTACCACCTCCCCTCAGATTTCAGTGTTGTGATGCAGTGAACATCTGAAAATAAATCATCCCAAGCGCTTACATCTGGGTTGTCACAGCCAATCATTTCTCCATAGGACACCTGGTGACACAGGCAGTAGGTAGGTTCGTTGGGGTCCACTGGCATGTCTAGGACATCTGAAGGATGCACCGACAGGATGGTATCAGCAAACTCCGATCTGCGGACAAGGACAGATTGAGGACAAAACACTTTTCAGTTGCAGGTAACACTAGGTTTCCCAGATCTGAATCCCTCTGGAGAAAATTGCTTTTTAACAGCATCTTCCCTCAAACACTACTTTAGAGTTTAGATTACATTATCATGTATTACCCAATAATTAAAATCATAATAAGGTAGGTTCGATCAAACACAAAACATGAGCTTGACTATAAAGGATTAAGAGAATCATTTCCATGACTACAATAACAAAATTAACGTACAAATCACTTCTGCTTGTGGACAGAATCCAATTTTGTTCCCCAATCTGTTTTAATATACATTCTTTTCTCGTTGTCAGGTATGAGCAAACCCTCCTGCTCTGACAGGAATGTATTAAGTCGACATGTCAGTAACAGTCAAGAGAAACTATTTTTAGTTTTCTGCCCTTCCATGTAGCCAACTGAAAATATCAGCATTAACAGAGTCCCTTTAATATAAATCATATCAGAGAGGGGACATGCTTTCTTCCTTGCTTCACAAAACCAAATTAAGATTATTCAAGACTACGCAGGACAATTCTTTGAAAACAACCCCCAAAATTCTCCAAGATTTCTAGAACAACAATACAACATCAGTTTTTGTCCTAATGGCCAAGTGTTCTTTTTACAATCAAGGCCACAAGCAACTGTTAAAAATAGCCGCGTGACAAAAATGAAAGCTATTTTCCCCAGCTTGCCAACAGCAACAGAGACACTGATCTTGTCCTTCCAGTCAGAGGGCATTCCAAGCATGCTGAGTTTCCACACGCCAATCAAGGAGTTAATTAACAAAGCTGACTTGTCCTAAGCCGGACACTAATGAAATGGAGTAAAACTAGAGCACACTACACCGCTCACCATCCAGACACGAGTCATAAACAGGGTAACATGAGCTTGTGGAAAATTCATGAAGTGTCAAGCCAAAGTTACCAGAGCTGTGACTGGGTATGCCTTACCCTCCTTTGAGTTTCTTTTTCTTTGGTGTATCTTCTTCAGATGTTCGCCTGCCTCGACCACGAGAGCCTCTTTTGTCTTTCTGACTTCGTCCCTCTATAAAGGAGGAAAAAACCCCATCGTTTCAACCTATTTGAATGCCAGAAACATCCCCAGATGTTTTTCTTTTAATGCATTTATTGTTATGAAATCTTCATATGTAATTGAATATGAAAGCTGATCCTGAAATGCATTTTAATGCCACAAATAGACCAAATTGGCAACTAGTACAACTGCGCACCAAACTCTCACGTTCGCAGTTTTGGCAATTAAATCACTGCAGTACAATGTTAGTCTATATCGTCACACAAGATATAAATAGCAAAAATATTTGATTAGACATGCTGTAATTTTTTTTTTAAATCTTAGCATATTTTTAAACTCAGCCAGTTAATAAGTTACTTAATAACTAAATGCAACTTATCTCCACATCCCTGATCTTACCCCTTATTTCATAGTTCAAAGGCATAAAGCTGTGCTGCTGTTTAACCATACTCAAATTTCACTGTAATCATACGAGACTTCCAGTGTACATTACAGAAACTGGTACCTTCCTTTAACTTATAATTTTTCCTGCTGTACTCAGCTTGATTAGTATTCCAATTTTGGTAAAAGGAGGAAAATAGACAAATCTCCTCAAAAAGAGCTTAGACCATCAGTTCAGTTTTGTCACAGTTTCCCCCTTGGCCAGTAGCCTCCTTACAACCAGTAAATATGAGCCACCTCAGGATGATCTGGCAAGCAGAGCCAGTAAGTTTGATCCCAGCACTAGGTTTTTCTTCATCTGTTTATTGCCCACCAGAGCACTGTAAATGTTTGAAGGGCATTAGAAACAAGTAGACAAGTACACTATGGTGTACTACTTCCTCCAGAAGCAACAGCCTACTTTATATCTCAGCCTTTCTGGTTAGATGCGCTCAGTGCTGGAAAAGTCAGCTGTATAGAATTTACGCACTTTTCAGGCTTCGAGATCCAGAGTTTTCAAAGTCACTGCCTTCCAGTTTATCTTTCAGATCTGCTTCAAACCGTGCCAAGTCTGCATCCAGCCGGCGGATATGCTTATCCACCTGCACAGAAGAGGAAACCACAAACTGAATTAAAAAAAAAAACACAAACCCACACACAAATGAAAACAGGAAGGTCTAATAACTTGGCCGTTATCGGCACAAACAGAAGTATGCTACTTTAAAGCAAGGCATGAAAGGAGTACCAAACTGGAAAAAGGGAAATGGAACACACAACAGGATTAAGGCAGAGAGAAAAAGAAAACAGCAAAAGCAAGAGGACCCAAGCCCACTACAGACAAAGAGAAAGGAAGAAAAAGGGAGGTGGAATAAAGGAGAGTTAAAGCAACTCAGACTAACGGTTTGCAGAACAAAACAAGACGATGACAGATATTAAAAAGGATTGTTTTCTTCCTGCACTTTTCAAAATATATTACTCAACTATTGTCCATGAAATGTTCTGAGTAGATCAGTCTATTATTTCTGGTATTCCACTGGCACGCTATTCAAAGAGATTTAGTAATAAATACAGGCTTCTGCTATCTCCAGTATCAAGTTAAGACATAGTAATTAAGTACCTTGTACTACCCTGGTTGCAATAATGTGGTTCACAGAACAGAAATGTAGCATATCTATTTTAAGCTACCACTCGCAAACTGTGTTGCTGCAATACCTAGTCTTCAAATCAGTTATTTAGTTTTCTAGGACCCTTTTGAATTCCTGTGAAAGATTTTCCTTTTCTGCAGTATTTGATGGCAATGAAATGTACTGCAGCTGCAGCAGAATGTGAAGCATCTCTAGAAGCTGTGAAAAACACACTAAGTACAGTCAAAAAGATTCCCCTCACTCAATTTTTATCTAGGGGATAAAAGAGTTATTCAAGGGACATCAGGAGTAGGGGCAGAAGAAGAAAGAAGTGGAAAGACGCATCTTAAGAAATGAGATTTTCCCATCAGGTCCATGAAGGAAAGTTTGGTGTCCAGTATACAACCAGAATGGTGGAGCTGACAGGTCTGCTACCTTTTGTCACTTGGAAGCCAAGGTAATTCAGATTTCCTTCTATTCCTCCACAATATAGTATTGAAGTTGACTTCAAAAATGTTGCTTACGACTAAGACCAGCCCTAAATAAATTATTGGATGACAGGGGAGTCACTGGGGAGGAGGGAGTGGGGTAAATTTTCTCATATTATTAGGCAGCAGAGAGGTACTACTGATGAAGCAATCTCCAAGTGGGATAAACTCATTTAACTCTTCAGCAGAAGAGGAGCCTACTTGACACAAAACCTGGTAACACAAGAGGAGTTTTTTTGGGAATGGCAACAGCAAGAAAAATAAGCTCGAGGACTAATAATAAGATATTTAAGCAGAAACATGAATGTCAAGGAAAATGGACGCTGTGGAAGCATCTTCCATGTCCACCAGCAGCACCATTCCAGAGTAAGACCATTTTTACAAAAGTCTCACTGGTTGTGGTCCTCACCATCTCGTACGTCTGCATGGCCAGCTGGACTTTATCATCGCTGTACTCTTTACATTTGCTGTAGGCACTCTGGATTTTCTTCAGGTGTTCCACTCGCTCCTCGGGTAACATGTTCTTCACCGATTCAATATATTCTGCTGCAAGACTATCAATTTCTGCTTTCTTATCTGAAAAGCAAAGTACATACTCATGAGAAGGCTGTCTACCAAAGCACGTACTTTTTTCTTCTACCTCTCTGTGATATTTAGAATACCTCTCCTGACAGTTTTTGTACTTCCCCCGATTCCTCAATGTATTTACCTTTTTTTTTTTTAAATTAAGTTAAAGGTATTCACTCTTCAACACATGCAGTGTGATTCTGATTCCTCACGTGTTTGACAGTTAATTCAGAGGTGGGGCTCACAGTTAAGATCAGAAACTGAACCCACGGGTTCACAAACTTCAACCTCTCTTCTCACACACAGAACGTTGTATCTGCTGCACAGCCATTTACTGTTCTAACTGAAAATCATTAACGTGAGACCAGATACCAACACAAACCTCAAAAAACAAACAAACAAAAATGCAAGACACACAGCAATGCATCACTCAGTAGATGTGGAAATATGTGCAAGTAAGGCCATCCAAGGGGCCATCAGGTACAGCGATCACACAACTACAAATTAACAGGCAACTGTTGAAAAAAAACCCTAGTTCTGTGAGCCATAGCCCGCACAGAAAAGAAACAAACACTGCACAGCACTCAAGAAAAGGGAAAGCGGCAGAGGGGAGACACGTCCTCTGAAGCCGAGTCTCCACAGAACTCTCCCCGTCCTTCAGGTTGGGGCTCTATCAGACTTCGCTTACCGAAATACCTGAACACACCTTCTGTTCTCTGATCCAACTCCCGCATCAGCTGGAAGTTCCTCTGCAGCTCGCAAGGCAGGTTTTCGATACCTGGAATATAAAAGCCGAGACATACTACAGCCCGTTCTCCTCACAGCAGCCATCCCTCCTTGGACGCCTCGCAGCGAGCCCACTCAGCAGGGCTGGAAGCCTCACCGCCTTACGGGGCCTGCAGTCGGGTTACCACAGCTCTGCCCACCGTAGGCGGGAGGCAGAAGCGGCGTGCGGGCCCCGGTCTCGACTCAGGGCGCCCCGAGAACGAGGCCTGCGCAACAGGAGACCCGCATCTGAACGCGCATCAGCTTTTACGCACCGGGAACGGCCGGCACGCAGGCCTTCGCGGGACCGACGCGTACCCAGCAGCCGCGTTACGCCCGCTGTTTCTTCGCTG